ATTAGTTTTGTCCATTTCCTCTTGGTTGGAATTCAACTATTCTTCTTAAGCTAAACCCTAAACCCTAAACGCTATGGGGCCCAGAGCCTTCTCAGACAGGGCTCAGCTGGATCTCTCCGATTTCGCCTCTTCGCGCTCCACTCGCAGGCTCAGTGCTTTTGGCTTGAGCTCTGGTTGAATCCAAGGGCCTGAATCGCTAGTATACTGATATTATGCCATATAAAGGGTTCTTTGATACAGCTGCACTATGACATACACGGGTCACCAGTCATTCGGGCCCCTTTGTTATGGGTTTCAGGCTTATGCAGGGCTTAGACTTGTGGCAATAGAACATCTGCAAGCCGGGTGACGTTCGTTTTGTTCCTAGGATTGGCGACTTTTCTGTTGTTCAGGCGCGTTTGGACTTGAGTTGGGGAGCGTTTTCGCGTGAGACGTTCGGAAAGGGAAGGTTTGATTGAGGAGTTTCTGGGGTGGGCAAGTGCCTTCTTTGGCTACCATATATGGCAAGAGATGCGACGGTGAAACGTGAGATGACTCCCATGTGTCTTCCGCTTACAAGCTCTCTGTGCACTGGGCATGCATCATCTGGATCTCGAGGCAGCTAATCAACATCAAGTAAGCGTGTGCCACCATGTTTACTGGGTCCATGCGCAGAGCCGCGATGCGGAACTCTACTTCACGATGGCAGCCAGTAGCACGCAGAGGATCGAAGGCTCATGGCCGTCCTCGATGCGCGCAGGGAAATTCCCCACTTGCCGCTAGCTGCTAGAGCTCCGAGGCCTCGGCTACATTTAAACTGAGATCTGTGGTAAAGATATGGGTAGCAACCCTCGCTTGCCCAGCACTGGCGGCACGCTGTGTTGACGAGGACGGGAAGAATCCTTCGACTGAAGGTATCTTTCTTCACAGAACGAATCCGACATCGGCCGTGGCGATCCTGAAGATCAACTTGAAGATTGATTCAGCTTGTGCCAGTGCAGGAACGATGTTTTCTGCCAGGAGCACATCTCGCCGAAGCATCGGGACCAAAGCGGACGCGTACGGCACAAGATGACAAGGTTGGCAGCTCCAAAGGCCTCCAAAGGCCATGGTCGCCTGCCCTGCCGTGATGGGAAGACCCGTCGTTGAAAAGGTTTCGGGCCGTTTACCCAAAAGAAGGTGACCTCGGGCGCATTTCATGTTGTTCTTGGTCATCGCGCGGTGGCAGTCGGAACTTTCCGGGAGTTCATCCTCTTTCACGGGGAGTCGATATATCCGGAGTGCGAGATGATTTACCGGAGAGTCCACAGCGAAGAGGCATCCGAGACGGTGCTTGAAGAAGTGGATTGTGAGCCCAAGGATGTGGAGCCCGGCATACCCGAAGCAATTCCAGGCTGCCACGGCCAGCTCCGGTGCCTCGTTCCGGCGGATGCTATACCGTTCGGCACACTCAAGATACGTACACCGGGTAGTGATCAAGTCATCGAGATAGCTCCCTGAGACCGGCCAGGGAGTCTTCTCGCCTTCCTTCCGTGAGACCTTGGGGCCGGCGGCTAGCGATCTGAAGACTCAGACTCAGCAAGCACTGACTTCAGGCCCTTTAGGCCTTCCATGCCTCCGCTCTTCGGATTGCAGCCCTTCGACTCTTTCGGTGTCAGGTGGCGCAAGAAGACCAGGAGCCTGAGTGATACCTGCTTCTCAGGCTTTCGAAGACTGCGCTTTGAGGAAATTAGGAGGTTGTCGGGTTGAGGGCTTTGTTCGAATGGGTTTATCTTTCGCTGAGCACTTGGGTATGTGTTCTGCTGCACAAAGCTTCCGCAATTCAGATAGAATAACAGCCCAGATCTTGCAAGGCATTTTCGCGAGTACCGCCACTATGGCAAACCGTGTAATCTTATCTATACATTGCTGAGAGTCCTGGAATGCGGTTCTCGGTTCACCTACAAGAGATGTCACGGGAGGCTTGTTTTAACACGCTCAGTCATCAAGCTTGCTTCGTTGCTACTGGTGTCGTGACTTTGATTGACCAGGCTTTGTAGAAGCATTGCTCTGAACTTGAAGCCTCGACCCCATCGGCACCATCCGGTCGTTTGCAGAAGGGTCCTGTCGGAAGGAGCTGGTTCTAGAGAAACCGCCTCCCGACATTTGTGCCGCGCTGAGGTTTGAGTCCTGTGTTTCAGCACTGCCGCTGTGTGGTAGTCACATGCCTGACTTAGAGCATGAGAACTTGGCAGCAATGTTTGAACGCAACATGCCTCGCACATCATAGCGCCCCCGGCAGACTCGGCACAATCTTCATGCATCACGCGAGTGAGAGAGTGAGTGAGTGAGTGAGCGAGTGAGCTTGCGCCAGTACCTGAGGGTTTGTGTGTTCGCGTGTGTTTGTGCGTTTGTTACAGTTTCGTTCTGTTAGGTGCAAGAACTGGAAGAGTCTGAGGGATGGGACATTTCATTTGGAAAGTTTTCGTCTCTGCCAGCGGATTCTCAGGCATTAGCCCAATAGGTGCGAGCAGGAACTGTTCAATATCCGATGTAAACCTCAAGTAAATTCAGCCACGGTTGCAGCACAGGAAATTTGGGTGTATAGGGCTTTAGTCTACTTCGGCTTTCAACGCATAGGACTACGGAAATGGTGTCAACATCCGAGCGGAGGACATGGCAGCGGCTTCATGCGCAGAGTGCAGGGGCTCTTCTGGACTGGGTGTGGCTATCATAAGTGGCTCCTACCACCACGGCTTCCTTAGGTCCACTCTTGCTACGATGGATCTCATCCTTCTCCGGTGCAGCCGTTTACCTTTCCATGTTGGGCCACGCAGCGCACCGCAAACTGAAAGCAACTCAGGACACGCTCGATTCCGCGAAGACTTGCCCTCGATATACCCTCGACGGAGTGGACGATCAACCCGGACAGACCTTCAGTATTGTGTATCTCAGAGCCCCTACCCTGGACTCGTTTACTCGTTTCCCCAGACCGCGTCCACCTTCCCCAAGACCCTATAAGACCGAGCGCGAAATCCGCAAACGGTGGCACTGGCCATCCGATGGACGCAGATGGAGGGGCCCATGGAGAACTGCCGAAAGCCCTCGCAGAGGCCCTTCGAGCAGTCATGTCCGCAAATACCTTCAACCTGCGTGGCTCGTTTTAAGCTTGCGATTTCACAGAATTCGGGATTGCTTTGGGAGGACGCTCTCTGGCAGGGTGGAATTATTCAAGATCAGTATAGGTTTCATATTTTCAGCTACAGTATTTCCGACTGGAAGCATCCGACACTGCACCCTTACTTAACCCAGACGCAAATTCAGCAAAAACCTTGCACCTTGCTTGGGCTTACGACATGCCACTGCTCTGGGGCATTTTTCCAACTTCTTGTTCCAAGAGTTGGCTGCCATGTTGTTGAAGAAAGAACCACGAAACTTCGCGGGTCCAATGGCTGCTGTTCTGGTTTGGAGGAGGAGGCTCCGTCTTATTTCGTGTCCTTCGTCTACGCGTCTCCACACCCTTTGCAGACCTTCAGTTGTTTTGGGCTATACATGATACAGTATCGGATGTTTGCCCGCAGAAACAGACTCCCGAAAAGGCCTTCAATGCCTGAGCACCCCGCCCGCCCCGCACACCGCCCTTTGGAATCAGGTGTCCCCCTACACTGCCAGCATGCCGGGCACTTCGAATTTGCGGAGGCTGAGCTATCTTCATAGCGAATGCTAAACCACTTTTCGTTTGCCCACCGAGCGTTTGTTACTCAAGTCTTGTTCTCTTGAGTGGTTGCATGGTGTTTAAACTAATCATGCAGCCACAATATACGATGCACTTGTAACCCCATCTTTGATGTCTGAATGCTCGTATAGCGCTGTGCTTCCCTCGTTGAGCTTACGACTTGTCGGTCTTCTTGCTGAGGCGATAGTCCCTGTAATCATAGCCGAAGCCTACGTCACCCCAGAGCCTTTTGTGCTCTAGCTTGCCATGGGGTGAATGCGACAGCCTGCACTTGATGTTGAGGGTTGTGCGAGTTGCTGGTTTCGAAGAGGTTTCTTTGGTTGAACATGACTCGGGCCCTCATCGGCGAATGTTTTTTGTTGAGAAGGATCCTGCGAGGTGCGAAAATGGAACAGTTACGACTCTAGTGGTGGTGAGCCTGCCGGTGACATCGACGGGCTTCTTTCGATCGTTTGGTTTTCTTGAGTCATACTTGGCACGGATGAAGAGAGGGTCCGGACACCGTTCAGCTGTTTCTCCAGGAATGCTCGTCCTCGCCGCATCTTGCAATGCACCTATGCCACAGAGAAGAGTTTTCACGTTGTCTGTCGTATTTGGGTAAGCGTTAGCCAAAATCCCAAGCGTGTCGGGTGGCCTGAAGCAACATTTTGGTGTTCATACTGTTCTAAACCTTCTGCCCGAGTATGATGTTGCGATGTGTTGCAGTCGCATCCATCAGTATCTCACTACTGTGAAAACGGATCTCCGGCAAACTCGAACTCAGACTCCTTGAAATCGGGTTGTCAAGGTCATTCCACATCTATCGGCAGCAGATGATGCATGGTGCTCGCCGCTTGTTGCAGTTGCTGCTCCAGGGAAGGGTTGTTCTAAGAGGGCTCTGGTGCAATACCAGTTACCACCACTTTTGAGAGCTTGGAAGGCTTCGGTGATCCAAATCACCCTAAGACGTTTCAAGACTTGGTAGAAGCACATGGTTCAAGTTATACATTAGGCTCCCCTGTCGGGTGCTGCTGGACATGTTATCGGATGTGGTTGGCTGAAGAGCACAGCCTTGCACAGTAGTTTTTCGGGCTACAGGAGCTTCGCAGATGTTGAAGTGTTCCTTCCGGATCCCGTTGTTTTGCCCTAACCTTTCACCATCTTTGCGCGGCGGGTGCTCTCCGCAGAAAGCTTTTCTGTACCTCTGCCGCACCGTGGTGGCTACTGGATTCTCTAATGTCCGGAAACCCCTTTTCAGGCTGCGGCTTCAAGCTCCAGGGGTTCAGGCCAAATGAAGCCCGTTCCCCGAATCTGTCCGAGCCAAGAGGCTGTCCCCACTACGCGGGGCCAAGCTCCGGCGTCGGTGCTCCAGCCACCACGAGGTAGCGAGCCGGTGAGTCGCCGGTGAGTGCGCTTGCTGTCTTGATAGCTGAACAATTTGTCGGAGAGCCCCAAAGCGACAAACATTGCATCAGCTGTTTCACCTGACACGGAGGTTGTTCTACATGAGGCGCGGTTGAGAAGCAAGTGTTTTCACTACAGTGTATTGCTGGTCAATGTCAATGCTCACGTTGCACGTAGCAAGGATCCCAAAGTGGAACCCGGATTTAGAAAAGCGTTCAAAGCGCGGGAGGTCCCAGCTCCCATCTTTCTGCCGCCCCTGACTGCCGAGCCGTCTGCACCGGCCCCACCACAACCAGGCGCCTCAACTCATCGGAGAGGGTTTGGGGCGGTGATTGCAGTGGCTGTCACAGCGACTTGGTTTTGCCTTCTTCCGCAGCTACTGACTACGACCGCTGCTTCCTCTCATTGCTGCGACAGTCGGTGCGACGAGGGCTTGGTCTGACTTTAAGAACCATTCCGTGATAGTCGCGCCAGAAGCGCAAGAGGAAGCAGGAGCAACAGCAGCAGCGGCAGCTTTACAATCTGTGCACTGATTGTCTGAGTAGCAATATCAGTGATTTCGGCAGAACCTGGTACGTAGTCCAAGTAGTAAGGGGATTGTGCCCACCTTGAACTGCAGTCTTATCATAGGCCCTGAGAATGTTGCAGGATGTTGCAGGCCTGAGCCGAAGACCTTTGCACAACAAAAACTGGAATTACTATACAGTCTTGCAAGGTTCTTCAGAGTTTGCAGTGGCATGGTGCAGGCACGCTCCCCTGTTTTCCTCTTCCGCTGCACCGAGCTGCACTTCCGGGCTCGCGCCGGATGCTGATCCTGGGCTCCGAATGGTCTTGTTTGAAGCAAGTTTGGGTCAGTCGAATAAGCCGAACCGCTAAGTCTCCTCCACAGCTGACAAGGGAAGGACTAGATGCCGTCCAGGTTGCAGGTGTTTGATTGGGGCATTTGGGGCTAATTGCAGCGACTCGTTCCGGAAGCCGAGGAATGTTATGGAGCGACGTGCCTTGACGAGTTTTAGGGTCTTTGGCCTGTGGATTGCGGCTCAAGCCGTTTAGGGGGTTGGGGGGGGAAGATCAAATGTAGGCGGGCCGTCATGACCGTGACTTTGAGGAGTTCGCGAAAACCGCAAAGCAGCTTCTCGTGAGCTTAAGTTGTAGTGCTATCGTGTAGGGTGATTAGCATTCCTGTCTGCCATCTCTCTCTAGACCGCTCGACCCGATGGGGTCCAGATCCCCGCAGCTGAAGGTTACACTTCAATGTACGAAGATCTTCTCACCACCGGCCAACGGCGTCTCTTGGCATGCGAACATTGTAACATCATCAATTCTTCAATCCCCTTCGGCCCCAGTCGCATTTTTGCGGTACATTCCACGGGACGCTTCAAGGTTCAACCCCTAAACCCCCAAACCCCTAAACCCCTAAATCCTAAACCCTAAGGCCCTAAACATGGTAATTAGCGGGAAGTCTTTCACTTTGTAGCGCCTACTCTTCGGGCAGAGGTCTTCATGCAAGCGTCGCCCTGGTTCCAGTGGTCGTGGGGCCATGGGCCAGGTTTCGAAGGTGGGTTCGAAGATACCGATTAGGGGTTTAGGGGTTTAGGCTTTATAGGGTTTAGGGTTTAGGGTGGGTTTTGGACCATCAGAGCTCGAAGATGCCCTCTGCACCTCGTCTCAGACTACGAGATGCGTGGAGCGCACGAAACCCGGAGTTTGGACCGGGTTGAGGGTTTTAACCGCTATTGCTGCGCAATCTGCTCAGTTTTGATATTTCTGTTGACAGCCTATGCCAAACTTGCATCGCACGACAGCAAGCAGAGTCAACGCAGATGGTCTCAGACAAGCAAGATATGCAACAAAGGCGTGGTTTGTATTGCCTTAAGTCTTGTTGGCTTTTGTCCACATGCCTCCGGGCTTCAGAACTGGTCCAGTCTGGTTGTATCCGACGAAGCACCTTCTCGGCGAGCCATCCTGTCACTCGTAGTAGATCGCGCGCGTGGTTCGCTGCAAAATATTCTATAAAAAAGATGGAAATATGCCTGAAAATTCCTAGAGTTTCGCGAGCCCTGAGATCGTGCAACACTGTGGTGACTTCCCGACATTTCCGAGCAGAGACCCCAGAAAGATCGTGCCCGAAACCCGAGCTCGCCGCCGGTTCAGTGCCCGGCGTTGCCGAGTGTGAGTGGACGTAAACCTCCGAGGCTTCGTTGTGCCCCGGGTCCTGCAGACATCGCAAGGACGGCTGCGACAGCTCGGGTGCAGGGCCCAAGCCATGTGTGAGATTGTTTTGGCTGCTACGGGTTTCTTCGCTTGTTGCCGATCGATCGTTGGGAACTGCAACGGGTTAAGGCGATTTTTTGGAAGTTGTGCCCTCAAGCTGGGTTTTCAACCCGCCCCACCTGTCCGTGACACCGCGATTCGGCACAGTCTCTTCTCAAACGCCGGGAAAGACGATCTACTTGTCAATCGTCCGAAGGATTTAGCAACATGTACTCGTTCCCAGCCGTCACCAGAACACAGGCAGCTGCCGAAGCCTGAGTTCTGCAGGAGCTTGTCTGGCAGAAGCCGCCGTGGTCTTCGTGATCACGGACCCGTGGTTGCAGAGTGGTGACATATATGCTTGATACACGCGTGCAAGCGGCTCTGGTTTAAAACCCAGTCGGTGCACAAGCAAGACTCTTTGCATGGGAGTACACTCTCGTGGCTAGGAAGGGGTACACCAGTTTACCTTTGTCCATTTTGGGAATGTTTCGTCTCGTGGCTATCCTGCTAGCCTAGACCCATTTGCCCAAGTTTGGCAGAGTTCGATTTGTTGATCTCCTGTTGTCAATACTTCCCATGTTCGATGAAAGTCTCAATCGCCAATTGCAAAACTTGACCGACTTCGTCTATGCTCGAGCCCGTGCAGGACCTGTTGGAGGCTCCAAGCAATTCCCGATTCCGCTACACTGTGCAGCACGCTGCCGCTGGGTGAATGTGGCAGACTGGTTGTCCTTATTGGTGCAGGGGACGTGTTGGCTCCAACTTAAGAAGGCACCCTGTACTCCCTAAGCGACCTTTGTCACGGACAGAACACAGGTACTTGAGACTCTTAGCCTGCGGCCGGATTAGGAGCCAACTGACAACTCACTCGCGACACATCGGAGGTCAGGCAGCGACAACCCTTAAGGCAGAGACGCTGTGACGAAATCAAAAAACCCTAAACCCAAAACCTTAAACAATGTGGAGCCTTGCCTGCTGCGCGCGAGTGTGAGAGTCGAAACCCTGAACCCTAAGCCCTAAACGGCCCAGAACAGCAACACCCTAGGCCCTTGCCCAAAGGACCTAGACCCTCATCCAAACGAATCCCGTTAGTATAGAAGCCTCGAATAAAGATAAACGCATAGTTCCATTCCGGGTTGGGTATTATTATAATTATGCAACATCATATACCCAAAAGCCTTATTCTAATGGGAAAAAATTGTTAAGGTCCCTATATCAAACCATTCCACACTCAGTCGCCCAGAGGTCCAGAAGCCGGTGCGAATCACCAGGGTGCCAGGGCTGCAAATAACTAGGGATTCTGTCATAGGGCATTAAAGGGCTTAAGTTAAGTTTAAAGCTTACAGGGTTTATATAGAGAGCTAACGGATGAGGGATGGGGCCTTAAAGGGTCGTAAGGCTTTTCGGTTCAGGGTTTAGGGCTTAATTAGGGATTCGGGGTTTAGGTTGTATGGGTTTAGGCCTCGAAACTGCGGTCAAACATGGGCGTAGGGTTTGATAGGGCTTGATCGGCTTAGGGTCTGGAATTGTTGTGGGTGTAGATTCGGGCCCAGGGGGCGGCACATTTTTTGATATCCTGGGGCTCTCAGCACACCCCTGGACCCTATAAACCCTAAAACCCCAAACCCCTGAACCCCTAAAGCCTAAACCCCTAAACCTTAAACCCACTTAAGTTGCGGGAGATCGGGCATCTCCGGAGATGTAAGCAAAGTTACACGGTCTGCACCCGTCACTAGGGCAGAAATTCGTCGTTCTCTAAGCCGTATAAACCCGTAAGCCCAAGTCGAGAAGTGTTCCAAAACCTGCTCTGAGCTCCCGGCTCGGATGTCAGGGAATCTGTGCTTGACTTTGAGTTTAGGGCTTAGGCGTTAGGCTTATGTTGCGAAGGTTTAGCTTAGTGTTTGAGACTGAGAACGTTGCTTGCGGGTTTCTGCAGCTGAGAGGCGTTATTGGATTCGACTTCTGGGCGGATGGCTTGTAGATTTACCGTGATTGGGTTCAGGTCGTCAGAGTTGAGTGCCCGCTTTGCTGGGCAGAGGCTTCAGCGAAGCATGTGACATCGCTTCTGTCGAGGTACTGCAGGATGGATGCCACGAAGCCTTGCATGACTTGAAACATCCATGTAAAGCACCCGGAAGCAGAAAACCCACGCACAGGTGCTCAATCCGGGAGCCTTCGCAAAGAAAAACACGTATCTCCGCGTGGAATACGCCAAGATTCGCGACCACGATGCCGAGAGGGACCCTGCGTTTCCAGGCGGAGGTCGGATTTCAAGGATTTGTTGGATCAGGTTCATCGGGTCTGCCTTGAGCCCATGAAGGCTCTCGGGGTTCCTAACCGGCCAAACAGAACTACTTGCAGGCATCCTCCGAAGTTACTACTTGGAGGCTTGAGTCTTGAGTGCACTGCCGTAGGAAGGCAAGAAACGTAGCGCCTGGCACTTTCGACGGTGTTGACCTCAGGCCCTGAGTTCGTCTCAAAACAATCAGTCACACGCGTGGCGTAGTCCAGAAATGATTTCCTGCAAGTAGCTGAGGCAACAACGACCCAATACCGTAACCCCTTTCAGACTCAGAACATCATAGATTTCGTGGCGTTCCCCCTTCAGGTCACGGTGCAAATGAGTGAAGCATTCCGCAGTGTGATTCAGGCGGTAGGAACGGGGTTACGAGAAATCTGAGACGAACCGGCCTTTATCTGCCCTCCTTGCCATAGAGCTTTGGTGCGCTGAACGGAAGACCCTGTGCTTGGAGGACTACTGGCAAGAAGAACGCGCCCTTTTCCGGGAGTTGCACGAAGTTGCAGCTCTTCGCGAGGCTTCTGCATCCGGGCGCGTGGCATAGGCGGAAGTACTCATTAGGATAGTGGTTTGGCCTTCTGATTCAGGGACGTTCAGGGTGCAAATCTGCAGGGAGAACAACTACAATCAAGGTTTTGCCGTCCCAAACACAATCCTACCCAGCCAGGCCTCTTGGTGAGGATCTTGTGCCTCAGTTTTGTTTCGGCGATGGGCTTAAACTTAAGGTCCTCGGGTTTAAGACGAGGTGAGGGAGCTGCGTAAAACCCTCCTGAAGTGTGATATCAAGAATAGCCGCAATGTTGAGAACTCGTGATGGTACTTCGTAGTTGGAGTTGTATTTACCATAGTCATCGTGCCAGGAAAAAATAGAATAACAGCCGTGAGTCATGTTAGGAATAACAATACTTAGTAACTCCAGCACCACTGGAAACTGATACATAATCACAATTTAACGACACTGTTGTTGTTTTCATTTTTCGTTATTGGATATTGGTTTCTTCCATAGGGATTTCCACAAAGTTATAGATCTATCTTTCTATCGACCTATCCGGCTATGTACACGCCACTTGGAAGACAGGCACAGATCGACAAACTCACCGCAGATGGACAGACATGCTTCGCAAATGTGGTTGCTTTTGCATGATGTTTGCACTTCCACGTGTATTGCATTATTGTAGTGAGAGGCGGGTCGTGAAGCCTGCAAGTGAACACAACACACTGCTCCTGCATAGCTTAGAGTGTCCATGTTCAGGAACTACCCGACATTACACCACTTTGCGTATGTGACGCTTCATAATTGCATACTTCGGGCGCCGCTTCCTAGGTGCACG